GCGGCTCCTTTTGAGCCGGCATCACGCGAGCTCCTAGCTACGTTGAGGATTCTTCTAACAACAACAACAACACCAACAACAACAACAACAACAGCAAAGCCACGGGATTCCTTTGCTGGCAGCCACGGCACAAGGCTGATATTTCCAATTCTCCCAGTGACCCCACCTATCACACATATTTCCAGAGCGTTCGGGTGGAGCATGAAAGCGCGAGGCCTTGAAAGTTTGGGACCCATCCGGCATAGCAAAGCTTCCGATGCAGTGGAAGCCCTTGTTGCAGAACGCTCGCTCCAGCCCTCAGTCCTCAGTTGCACTAGAAATCTAATAGCGTCGCTGTGTTTAGATTATGCAGTAGTCTGATGTAGTTTACAACTCAGCATAGAAAGCAGTGTGCCCTTCCCGTCGTTTTTTTTCACAGCGGGGCTCAACCAGAACTCTGCTCAACTGCTCGACACTTCTGAAGTGCATCACTCGAAAGTTTGAACTTGTAAGGCTTTCAAGTCTGGAGAATACACCAGCCCGCAACATGCAACCCAATTGCCGGTTCATGTCGAGCCGCGATGCTCACTTCTAGATTTCTAGCTCCCTGGCATGGAGTGGGAGCGGGGTCGCTGGCGCTGGGGGCTTGCAAGGCCCTGCCTTTCGGCTTCGCGACTCACGGCTCGCTTTGCGATCCTCCTGCTCTGCTCCTGGAACTTCCGCTTTCCGGTCGCAGGCGACATCGAAACGGAGTGCGGCATCCGATTGCTGCGAGAAAAGCTCCAGGCCGTGCTGTTGTGAACCGGCATCAATCCTCCCCGAACGCCCTTCCAATTTGCTTGCAAAGGCCTTTCACGGTATGCTCTTCGAAGTGGCAGGAATTGCGTGCTCGGCTTCTGCGACGTGAAGCTGTGAACTGAGTCCAACATCTCGTGGATCCAGGTGGCGTCCCTTGGCTCATTGACTCGCAAGCAGACCTCAGGATATCTTGCGCCTATCGGCCGTGCTTTCAGCTTCGCCTCCTTCGATGTGAAACTGTAAGAGGAATCGAGTATCTCGTGTATCCAGGTGGCATCCCTTGGCCAATCAGCTTCCAAGAACGATTCAGGGTATGTTGCCTTCAGCGGCAGCACTTGCAGCTTCGCCTCCTTCGAAGTAAAACTATAAGTCGAGTCTAGCATCTCATGTATCCAGATAACATCGCCTGGCCAATCTGGACGCAAGGGTCCCGCAGGGTAGGTTGCTTGCAGTGGCTTGGGTCTCGGCAACTTTGGCACCTTCGCGTTCAAACTGTGAGTCGGATCAAGCATCTCGTGGATCCAGGCTGCGGTTCCTGTTCAGTTCGCACAACAACCTGTGACGTGTCACTTACTTAGCCCAGCTGAATTGCGACGCAAGCTCACACTGTCCTGGCACGACAACTGCATCGTCTTCCGGATGACAATGGACAGCTCATAACAGTACGTGTTCGGGGGCATGCACAGGCACTTACACCCACCCACCATCACGCACCCCGAATCTCTGGTCGATATTGCCAGAGCGTGCGACAATGACCACAAAACTAATGTGCACAGAGCTCGCTACCGCAGACTCGTCGTGCTTATCGATTCTATCGATTTCGGTTGTGGCCGGAGCGTTGGTGCCGCTAGGTCGCAAACATTAGACCCTGTAACTCCCGGGCCCTGAATGCACCAATTATTCCTCTTCCACGCTTCTTAGGTAGCATTCAGAACACCCTAAAGCCAATCTAAAGGGTGTAAGAGCCATTCCACCCTCGAAATCCTGCGCACACAGATCCCTCTTGCTGTGCAAATCTGGCCTTGATCCGGGGTGCGTCGCTGGAATCTCGGAGTTGGCCTTCAGTCTTAGAATTTTACAAGCTTCAGCGATCTGTGAGGCTTCTCATATGCCCAAAGCTTCAAGGGAAATTCTGAAACCATGCATATCCGCTCATGATTTTCTGTGCCCAAGTGCGTACGGCGAAAGCGCATGCGAACAAATCTAGTCCAGACTTGAGCACACACGAGAGCGCGTTGTTACCACGACTCTGTGCGCACACACTCAGATTGCAACACAACAACAATGTGCATAGGGTACGCACATAAGACGTGTGCATGTAAACACATAAAACCACATATGTGTGTATGTCTATACACATGTATATATACATATATATATGTATATGCACACACGCACATACACATACAGACAAACAGACATACATACATATGTACATGCATGCATGCATGCATGCAGACATAGTTGATATGTACAGACGGAATTACATACGATGTCCATGTCACTGGTGAACTGGTGCAGCCACGTACATGTAGATGCCTGGCCTGGTGATGTTAGGAGCAAGTGGACTGGGCCCTGGTCCCTGCTTCCTCTCTCTCGCGGGCTGGATCATGGGGGAAGGAATGGCTTGTGGGTGCCTTGTTTCCGACGGACATACTGTTGACCGTCCTCGTGGATGCAGTTTGCACGGTCCAAGCAGCATGCCGGGCTCTTTCAGAAGCCGTCTCCCGAATTTTGCAGTTGGCCAGGTTGGTGCCTCTGGCATCAGCTGCACTCGTGGCTGGCTGCGAAAAACACGTTGACCTGAGGTGGGACCCAGCATGCCATGGTGCTGGTGAGGCCTCTCTGAAGGAGGTTCTAGCCTGGTGATTCTGGGAGTGGGTGCAAGCGGCACCCGTTGTTGTGGGCCTGGATGCCGGGACATTTCGTGCTGCTCGTGACGAGACAACTGGTCACTGGATCCACGCTGAGGTACTCTCGTCGTTGTCGCTGCGCTTCGTGGCATGATCGGTGATGGCTGTGGCTCTCGCCCAAAATTCCGCATGATGGCTACCGTTGGGAAACCCTGCGACACTGGAACCAACCACAATCTTGGTAGGATCGGCAAAGCACCCTGAAAGTGGACGAGCACCACCAGGGGCGGGTTGGGCGATCGCTGTGACGACAGTGGCGGCAGTGGACGAAAGACAGGAGCTTCCACGACCAGCTGCCCTTTCCTTCGTGGAGGACTCAGTGGCTGCAGCTCCGAGAGCCGCGCTTCAGAAGCAAAAGGAATGACTGCGAAAAGAAAGGCACGATACACGACGAAACACGCACATACTGCACAAAATGCCTGAATGCCGACGGCCAAGACGGCAGCTAGAAGGCTGTCAGGTAGAGAAGGGATTTCTGTCGCAGTGGCCGCAGTGGTCGCAGCAGGTGATGCGATGTGGGAGCTGGCCACTGCTCGAGCTGTTCGTGCGACGAGCGTTGCTGGAGAACTGCTTGCCGTACTGTTGCAGCTGGTCGAGCTAGAGGTGCCTGTCGTACTTCGTGTGGTTGATATGCCACTGGTAGTTGTTGTGGACTTTATAAAGGCTGAGGCATCGCTGCCATATGTGCTGCTGCTAGACGTCCGAGTTGGCAAAGCTGAACCGCTGGCAAACGCTGCTGCGGAGCTTGTGCTACTGCTGGAGCTACTTGCACCGGTGCTTGTCCTGCTGGTCGATGAGCCGGAAATAGCTGAGATGCTCGTGCTTCGCGTCCCAGTTGTCGGGGTGCCGGTGACGCTGGCGCTGCTGGAACTGCTGCTCTGACTGGCGCTGCTGCTGGAAGCAGACGTGCTTGTGTCACTGATGGAGCTGGACGTGCTAGACATGCTTGTGCTAGATGTTCCGCTTGTTGAAGTGATGCTCGAACTGGATCTGCTTTTCGTGGATGTGCTGCTACTGCTGGTTGAGCTGGAGGTGCTTGAAATGCTCGTGCTAGATGTCAGTGTTGTCGAGGTGCTCCTCGAGGATGTGATCGAGCTGCTGGTGACGCTGCTGGAACTACTGGTCCTGCTAGACGTGCTGCTGGAACTGGATGTGTGAGTGGTGGAACTGCTCCAGGTGGTGGTCACACTGCTGCTAGAGCTGGATGTGCTTGTGCTGCTACTTGACTTGGAGGTGCTTGATGTGCTGCTGCTCCGCGTTTCGGTAGTTGAGGTACTGCTGATGGAGGTTGTGGAGCTGAAACTGCTGCTACTGGAGCTGCTAGTTGCGCGCGAGCTGCTGCTTGAGCTGGAACTTTGGCTCGAGCTGCTGGATGTTCTGGTAGCTGTGGCGCTGGTGCTGCTGGTCACTGTCGTGGACGTGCTTCCTGTGGTTGAGATGCTGCTTGACGTGGAGGTGGAACTTGCGGTGGACGTCGTGGACGTTGTTGTGACCCAGAACTTCCAGAGGTCTCCAC